AGTGCAGTTCTAATCCGCACTATATGAGGTTGCAATGAGTTGAAATTGATTCAACATCAACTGGTTTGGTTTTACTATGTACTAGGGTCTTTGTCTTCCTCTAGTTAAGGAGACATGGCCTTCAGACAATAGCAGAGAAGCGATAGGTAGAAATCAATCATGCCACATCAGTACAGAGAGTAAGTGTGGGTCACGTTCAAAAGCGGGAAAAGATTCCTGTGGCTGGGAACAGGGACACTTTGTGGAAGGAGTGAGGATTGGGATCTGCTCTGAAGATGGGAAGGATTTAGAATGGGGGTTTCTGGGAGGGGAAGAAGTAGGGAAATTTTGTGAAGATGAGGATGGGTTCACAGGTATAAGAGAGAAGACCAGAGCCCATGATGCAATATGGGCTCAATGTAACTCATGCAGTATGTTATTTTATTACTTGCCATATAGTTCAGACTCACGGAGACATCATGTGTACAGAGTAGAAGTACTCTATAGGGTTTTCAAGGTTATGACCTTTCAGAAGCATTATCTGCAGGCTTGCTTCCTGAGGAGCCTCTGGCTGGATTTGACTGCCAATATTTCAGCTAGTAGTTGAGTGCTTAACTGTTTGTGCCACCCTGGGACATAATATAGCCATTCTGTTCATAAGCAAATAAGATACATGTTGCAAAATCTGTAGCTTTGTGTTCGGGTACTGATATGATTTAAGAATAAATTTAAATGGCAGTAGTTCTGGTAGGATCAGCACTGGACTGCAAACCACAAGGTAGGCAGTTCAAACCCACCAGTCGCTCCTTGGAAACCCTATGCAGGGTCGCTATGAGTTGGAACCAACTCCACGGTACTTAACAACAATAGCAATGGTCTTTATGGGAGCAGATGTCCAGGTTTTTCATCCTGCTGAGTCACTAGGTGGGTTTGCCAACCTTTTGGTAAGTAGCCAAGCACTTAACTATTGAGCCACCAGTGTTCCTACAATTGTTGCTCAATGCTTAAGTGCTAGGCAAACCTACCTAGTGACTCTACAGAAGGAAAAACCTGGACATCTGTT